TTAGAAGCTCAACACTTTGTCACTTTCTATCGGCTTGAGTAGGAATGAATATGTTAAGTGATCTCATCAGCATGGCAAGAATATGGGTAGGTAACAAAACTAACTTCCTTGCCAGGCAGGAAAATATAAAGGAATGACAGTATAAACATGATGACATCAATAAAGACATTGCTGCAAGCTGAAATGGAGACCAAACCAAAATGAATTGTATAGTGAAGGTTTTATTTCAGGATATCTTTATTCCTGTGCATTTGTAGCTCAGATTTAATGCTATTTTAACACACAGTAGTATTTTGTTTAGTTTAGTATATGGGGGTTTTGTTTGTTTTATAACTCTACATTGTGTGAATGAAATATATTTGTAATATAACATTAAAGATTTTAGTACAGATTATTCAAATTCTAGGAAATATGAATATAATGTTGATGAAACAATCATTACTTTGTGTCCGTGTGGATTATCGTGCTGACTGTTGATATTGAGTAACATAGTTATGTCATAAAATCTAATGATATGACATGATAACTTTTTTTTGTCCCAGGCATTTATTACTGGGGAGAGTCAGCAGAACACCAGTGCTTCTTTCTCTGAATAATGGTGTGAATAGAAGAAATAATTTTTATGAATTACTGCTATCATTCTTATCTCATTTCAACTGTTATATTATGAAGCATATAACACCTTTTTGCTGTCTTATCTGAAATTTGTTCAAAATTCATTAATAAGATGGTTTGTTTCTCTTCAGTTTTCTTTTTCCCCCGATACTTTTTAGATCAATGTTACTTCCTTTCCTCTCATCTCACCATATTAAAAAATACTTGTGCTAACACCCAAGAAAGCTGAATGTTGCTTACAGCCAATCAAATCAGAACAGCCTTTTTTGCATACATGTTTTTCTTAGCTACATTTTATTTTTATTGTTATTTGTTGAGCACCAACAGTGAGAAAGATGAATGCAAGGGATATTTTCAAATTTCATGAAGCCGTTGAGTTAAGGTAGAGTAGATAGAAGCATATGTTTACTTAATGATATTTAATAAATCCCCTACTACAGGAAGTCTACCAGTCTTCTGAAGTCTTGTAAAGAATTATTATGTTCAAAATAAATAGCCATAATTTTTAGGAAATTAAAAAATTGCTAAAAGACTGCCACTGACTGCATATATCTAAGAATGTGTTAGTTAATTTATGAACCTATTTATCATTTTTAGTGATGTAGACCCCACTTTCAAGCAATTTTAGAAGTATTTACTGTGTCATGGAAGTAATATCAAATGATAGAAGTCTTATAGATGTCTGGCACTGAGACAGGTCAGTATTTCTAAACTATGGAAGACTACATAAAACAGAGAAGCACAGCAGGTGGCTGAGAAATGGCTTTAGAATGGTCATTCATTTATTATGACATTAACTTTTGAGATCAATTGTATTTTAATTATTTTATGTGCTAGCAGTTTAGTAGTCTCTCAATTTCCTGTTTACCTTATATCTTAGCATCCGTACTTTAAAGAATTCCTTTTGTTGTATGATAATCTGGATAATGACAGGTTTCAAAATAGAAAGGATACTTCAGCTCAGTGAGGTGTAATAATAGCTATCATATCAGCTAGTTAAAAGTTACTTTTCAACTAGTAAAAAATCTTTTGGGGTTGAGAGTTTCCACAGAAGCAGAAATTTGAGTGTGAAATTGCAGGGATTGGAATACTTCTTTAAGTAATATGGAACACATATTTGAAAAATAAACCCCTCTAATACTCTTAAAATCCTACATATTTAATCTTCAGGAATTATACTGCATTATGTTTTCAGTTTGTGTATGCTTTTTGTAGAGCTGATTCAAAAAGTCCAAAATGAGTGATTTAGGAAAAATTCAACTTTATATATAAAGCATAAAACAACATGTATTGAGCTTCAATGCTTAACATATATATAAAATATATATATAAATATTCTGCTTGAGTACTTGATATTATCCTTTAATACATAGCTTGTATTCATGCATGCCTGACACTGAAATTAACAGATGTTTTGCTGGTGTAAGACCTGTCTAATAGGATTTATTCTCTGGACTAAACAGAGGTCTTGAAAAGTAGAAAATATGAAGACAATTCAAAGGAGAAGCATTCATCTCAGAATAGTTGAACTGAAAGTAATTTCTTCCCTTTCCATCTTTTTGTTTAGTCTGTTTACTCTTTAACTATTTTGTCATTTCATATTAAAAAAAAAAGATAAGAAGTAGGATCATCTGCCTGCACTCCATGGCTGTGAGCTTAGTGGTGGCAGCAAACAAACCTCTCCATATGGCTTAGCTCCAAGGGAAAGTCCAGGAATCATTCTTTGTATGGATTACAAGAAAATAAACAATTTCAGTGGTGCATTCAGTGGTGCAGTAGGTGTTGCCTACAAATTGAAGCTAAAATGTGTGGGGTTTGGCATATGGTTGCTTGTAATGATTTAAAAAACTAAATAGAATAAAGTAGAAAATTAGTGTCTGCTTTCAAAGAGTATGATGAAAAAGTTTCCTTGGTTTGGTAGGTTACTGGAGAAAGGCTGTAATGTAGGAATGTATGTTACGTCCATTTCTAAGAGGTCACCTTTTTCCCATGTAAATGGAAAACACCCAAGATAAAACAGACTTGGTTTTCTTTGAGTTGTGTTTTTTGTTTTTGTTTTGGTTTGGGGTTTTTTTTTTTAATTCTGGTGAATTACTTTAAATGTTTCATTTAGTAATGAAGTATTTTTGCCATTGTTGTGATGGTTTTGTGAATGACAGAAAATTCAAACCACTGGCTAATTATTTTGGTAGTTTTCTTGACATCAGCTGTCACAAGGACAATAAAGTGCACAAAACTGTGCTGGTAACACAGATAACAGTGTTAGCTGTGAGCGCATCTTCGAGAAATGGGGATGCCTTGACCAGCCTGCAGCTCTATTAATTTAGTATAATTTGTATGCAATGGGTGGCCCACTTGATATCAGCACTGCCATCACATATGTGTATATATGTGTTAACATTGCATGGAGAAAACAACAGTGAAAAAGCATTGTCAAGGTAAAGAAGGAATCTTTGGGGGTTATCATCAAAGGAATGGTTGCTTTTAGAAGTGTTTGTGGTGGGTTTTTCTTGGTGGATTTTTCTTTTCTTTTGGTCTGTTTTGTTACTGGTTACCTAGACAGCTTGAATTCCATGGAAAATGCCACTCTTCTCACTTTACGCTGTTTGGCAGTGCCTATTTCTACTGTTCTTCTATAGCGCCATTGCAAGAAGTGTGCATACCTGTTCTTTTAGTCTGTGGGTTATGCAGATGCATCCTCAGTGTAAGCATTCTTACAGACTTATCCAAAAAAAAATATTGTATAATGAAAGTAGTGTAGCTGATGTGAGGCTTGTGAACAAAAGTGAATCATAAATCTTGCAAAGGAAGAAAAATGAAAGATTGTTGGGTCTAAAACTAAAAGTAACTAGAAACAGGAAATAGTTTTTAAAAAAAGAAACACTGAACAATTTTCAGTGGCATCTGAAGCAAATTAAAATATTCTATTCTAGCTATATTGAACCTGTGATGTCATGATTTTCTGGTGGTTTGTGTGTGTGGTGTGTGTGTGCGTGTGTGTATGTCTGTATGTTTATGTTTTGTTTTTGTTGAACTCCCAGGAAGAGGTTTAAACATGAAGGCAAAACTTTCAAACCTTAGCATGGCTAAATATGAAGCAAAGCTGCCATTTTTTTTTTCCTTTTTGTGCCTCCATCTAGATCTGTCACATAATTTAAAGACAAAAGAAAGATACAATTTAACCACAGGAGAGCTAATAGTGTGAAAAAAAAACCCTGATGAATTTTGTTTCCGCAGCACGATATTATCAAAGATTTAAGAAACAAATTTGCCAGCCTCGGCGAGAACTCTCTGGTAACAGCATAAATGTCTGTGTTGGTTTGCTTTTGAGTTAAAGGTTTCTTTTTCATTCATTTGAACATATTTATCCTTTTTACCTCTTCTTTTTTAATTTATTATTCATACCCTCTATTTAGCAAGCCTTCATTTTTTAAACCTCTTCCATCTTCCAATGTCTTTTTTACGTAACTTGGATGGAAAGTTTATGGCAGCAAAGCTGTCATTCTGGCTACTTCTGCTGCAGCTGTTCCTGCTTTTAGGTCATACATGTTTTGGGCGTTGTGTTTTTGGACATGATACTAACTGATTGTGTCATGTTCCTTTTGAGTAAGCTTTTTACCACGCCATCCGATGGACTCGCTGTCATAGGGCTCTATGCAACTTCCATTTTGCAACTTATACTGCTTAGTCATCCTCAATTCTCCAGCAAACTTCAATTAACTTGGTGAAAGATCAAACTCATCTGGAATTAACTGTGCCTTTATGTTTGCTCTTTATGTTCTTCTTTATGTTTTCGGTAGTAGTTTAAATTATAAAGAACAAACTTCACCATTGCTCAAGCAACGCCATGCAGTATTGTTTGTTGCCGCTAGAGAATGCAAAATATAAAAGCACAGTGTATTCTATCAAATATTCTGTTGGTAGGGTGGGCAATCTATATTGTACTATAATTATGTGTTTTGAAAAAAATTCTGAGATGCTTCTGTTACTCTGGTATTCATCAACAACTTGCAACACAGGAGCCACATACTGAGCAGTATGAAGTTATGGTCACACTATAGAAGATTATTTTGAGTATGAACATTTACACAAAAACACAGCACAAAAGTGCAAGTTTGATATATGCAGTAGACATATAATGAACGTGGGCTTTGATTTACAATTGAGACAACTCTTTTCACATAAACTGCTAAAAGCATATTAAAGAAAAATACCAAGGAGGGAATATTACTTGAACATGTTAAATATCTGTTCAGTAGCATTGTATGTATTAAAATGGTCCATGATGTTGCCATAGAGCCCATATACTAAAAGAAAACTAAAAACCTTTGGAGAACTGGTAGTAACTGAAGTCCTCATCTTAAATGACTGGAATTTTTATTCAGGAAAAAGAAATGGAAAAGCAAAAACTTCTGTATCAACAAGCCAGACTGCATGACCGGGGTGCTGCTGAGATGGTTCTGCAGACAATCAGTGCTAGTAAAGGTAATGTTTTGTTGTGTAGATTACATACTAAACCTTATTTCTAATGATCTTTGAAAAGATTGTAATTCTTGCTGGGAAAAACCTGCAGACATTTGGCACTAAAGTTTGCTTTCAAAATGCACCCAAAGTTTCAAAAATCGTTGACAGCTACTCCAGAAAAATACAATGAATAATTCTCATTAGATTGTTGTTATTATTACTATCATTAATAATAAATTTTCTAGTGGTGATTGAGAAGAAGCATGAAAAATTTCATAGCTTTAGCAGTATGCAATAACAAAAAGGCCCCCGAATTCTGGGATGTGTACAGTTCTGAAGCAGGTGTAGACTTAGGTCCTTTTTTTTCCTCCACTCCCCAAATATCTACTTTATTGGTGTATGTTGATAAAACATTTCAGAAGTGTAAATGATGCTTTTGTCCTTTAGACACCATCTTACACTAAGTTTTGATGCTTTCATTGTCTGTTCTGTAATTTATTTCTACAGTAGTGATGTTTTAAAAATTTCTGTTTACAAATTTCATTTACTGTAACTAAATGGTTTGGATCACTGCAATTTTATGAATAAATAGGAAAAAATTATCTAGACAGGCATGCAGAGGAGACATGTAGTTAAACTTGAAAGCTGGCTTAAAATTGTGTACCCAGCCTTAAATCAACTGTTGGATGCTTTAGCGAATGAAACACGATTTATATTCATTGAGCTCAGTTCTTCCTGTCTTTTGTGTGCTGTGTATACATTACACTATGTCTGTAGGCACTCAGGAAGATACTAAGTCACAGTAGAGATCATGAAAGAAAACCAGGTCTGTTTTAAATGGGAAACAAAAAGGCCCCTCCTGATAAATTACCTTTTAAGTCATTGTACGGATAAGTTAATAGAACATTCTTATTTTTATATATGATCTAAAAGTATATTTTAAAATAATTTTAAGGTGAGATGGGGCCTATGGTTGCAGCTACCCTAAAGCTAGGGATTGCCATCTTAAATGGAGGAAATTCTACTGTTCAACAGGTAAGGTACCAATTTATTTTCACCCATTCTAGTCAGTATAGCTCTTCATACCGTGGTCATTATTATTGCAGTAGTACATTACATAATGTGACTATTTGTCAGATGCTGTTTATCATCTTACTCTTGTTTCCAGAATAAAATAGTGTACAAAAGTACCTTGTTTGCTAGGTATATATTTCTTATTTGTATACATATAATTAATCTACAGAATACAAGGCTATAAAGAAATTTTTTTTCGACTTCAACTGAAGGAGGGAAAATTTATGTTAAATCATTAACTTCTAGAGGAATTCTGTGGGAGGAAAGGATTTCTTGGGAGATTGCCTTTGTCCTGTAGACAGTAGAGGAAAATTGCTGACTCGTCTTCACCAGAAAAGATGTTATACAACTTCAGAAGTCCTTAGCTTATGCCATGGAGAGTCTTGGTGATAAAAGCAGAGAACTCCAACTTGATTTACTAATCAATAGTATGACAGTGTGGTGAGCAGTGGACAAGTCTGATAGGTTAACAGTATTCTGCACTGTTGAAGAGAAGTGACTGATACAGGGTACACTCAGTGTTCTGTACTAGTTGAAGATTCCTGAGTCCAGAAGGCTTCATACCTGCCCGTTACTAGATTGTGGCAGGATAGTTTGCAGAATACAGGCAATTGGGAACAGTTAAGGTCCCAGGTCAAGCAACCACTGAAGCATGCCTAAAATAATGTTTGTTTCAGGGGCTATCATTACCAGTAATTGACCACAAATTGTGTAGAAAAGTATCTGCTTTAACCATTGCCAGTACTTTGTGATGTCATGATATTAACTGACATTTGTACATAGTTATTTAATCTGAATTTGTAATGCTACTATCTAAATTTTTAAAAATTATTTGATACAGTTTTAACTAATCAGAATACAGGAAACAGTACAGTTACAATACTACTCTAAATTACATACTTATAACATAAAAGCATACAGTTAGAATTGCTATTTTTCCAGTTGCCTCATTTCTACATGTTTTCTCTGGTATGATGCTCACCTTTCCAATTTTCCTTTAGGTGCTAAGATCAACTCTTCAGTCTTCCTTGGGAAGAATGGTATGGGTGGGGGGAGAGATACAGAAGTGCTTTTGAAAAGCAATCGTCATCATCCTCTGGAGTTCTTTGATTAGTATGGTGTTGTTGATGAGGGTGTGCTTTTTCTGTGATATTAGGTCTACTTGGGGTTATGCTGATACGTTAACACTGTCTGCTTACGTGCTCTTTCATTTTGGAAGTTATTTATTGTCCATTTTCCCTATTATTTTTGGGTTTTGCAAAAAGAGTTTTGACTCCTTCACAATGTGAATTCTTGTAGCATTCTTACTAAGACCGATCTTTGAGCACTGTGATTTTTTGTTCACAACTGGGACCTCTGGTATCATCCTATATCTTCACTCAACAACACATGGCATTCTAGAATCAGAGTTCACTCCATTAAATAACTTCTTGTTATTTCAATTTATTATCAGAGAAGTATTACACATTACAATAAAGCTAAAACAAATTTTAAAAATACTCTCATGACTACTAACATGCTGTTGCAGCTGAAAGAATCTAAAACAAACTGAGGTTATGACAAGCCCAGTCTGGTGCTGAAACAGTAGTGTCAATACAAATTTGTGGTCTAGTTAGTGGCAAGATTGTGTTTATATTAAACACTAAATTCTGTTGGCTGTGTTGACTTGAGGTACTATGTCTATTTTCCATGTTTCGGGAAGGAATATCCAAAATGGATGACCTTCTTTTCTGTAAAGGATATGAGTATTAAGTATTCTTTTTTTATTTTTGATACCTGGATTTTTCTCTGCAAGACTCTTTTATCAAATTTGTAAATATTAGAGATATTTCTAAACACCAGCATCACTAATAATCTATAATGCATATATATTAACTAGATTAACACATAGTATAAATATTAATTCTCTGCATAAATTATTTGTGTTTACTGCAGAAGATGCTTGACTACCTCAAGGATAAGAAGGATGTGGGATTCTTTCAGAGCCTTGCTGGTCTTATGCAGTCCTGTAGGTAAGAAAATATCTACTTTAAAAATTTCTTATTTTGCATTTTATTCCACAGGATTTATAATTTTGGAATGATCCTCTACAATCCTTTTGCAAACAGCACCTGGGGTCTGTAATGTGCTAGATTTGGGGTGAAGGACAAGGTGGTGCTCATGGTATGGAAATCTTCACATGATATGGATCTACCTTGGTAAAAAGCTCTTTTCACAAATGTTTATGGCATTTGTGTCTACTTTAAGATGATATACCAGAAAACGACTCCAGAGTCAGGAACATTCCTCAGGGGTGAATTCTTAACTCTGGAGGTATCCTGTAATCCTGAGGAGACTAGATTAATGATCAAAGTTAAGTAATCATAAAGATTTTGGGAAAACCCAACTTGTTAGAAATATTAATAGGCCTTTTTAGAAGACAGAAAAAGGAATGGAATATTGTGTTTTAATAAACTGTGGAGGTACTGTGACTTTTTTGCCCATTCATGCTTCTTGATAGATTATATTGATTTTATATATATAAATTTAAATGTTTTAGATATAATTCCTAAGAATAAAGCATACCAAGAAATAATGTATTAATGAACTTAAAATATAGGGCTAAAAAGGCTTTCCTGGATCAAGTGGTTCAGCCTTTGTTATGTCAAAGGTACCATGTTATATCTTTTATTCTTAATGCTGCTTTTGGCCAAGTTTCATTTTGAAATCAGTGAGGTTTCTTGCCAGCAGAACTACTACATCTGCATTCATCTGACTTTCATAAACATTCTTGCTTATGAACAAAAATTATCAATGGCTGGCTGACATACTAAGCCATGAAAGGCAGAACTTTGTAGATTCATAAATGGAAACATGTAAGAGTATATGCTACTTAAGTCTGGTTAGTTGAATACATATTCCCCTTTGGCAGCTTCAGTTTTTCAAAACGTGGAGAGAGAGGAACACTAAGTGCAACTAATAATTACAGAGTTTCTTAATGGACCTTGCTACTTGGGATGAACTGGGCTAGAATATAAAAGTAGTCAATAATATGGCTTCTTTGTAACTCTTAAAATGAGTATGTATATCATAAACACATACGTTCCCTTTTTTTGGTCAGTCATAAAGAGCTAAATTCTGTTGTCATTTGCAAAGCAAAAGCCGTTGAGCTTTGTAATCTTGTAGCAGACGTATATTAAGCCACTGAAATGTATCTTCTTGACACTAGTATGATATATACTTAAATGAAGTCACAAATCCTTCTCTATCTTTCACAAAATGATATATTACATATATTTAATTAATCACAGGACAAATTTAATTTTTCTTATTGCAGTGTTCTTGACCTAAATGCATTTGAACGTCAGAACAAAGCAGAAGGCCTTGGCATGGTGACTGAAGAGGGATCAGGTACTATCAATTTAAGAGAAATGATCCATGAACTTTTCTCTTTTACATTCTGTAGAAGCAAGCTGAATTTGAAAGAAACCTGTAAATATATACCTAGAGGCTGGAGCTAAAAATACAGTTCCCAAGAGTGGTTTATATTTAATTGGCCTACCTAAGCCCATGCTTGTCAGTAGTAAATCACTAGTATGTGTTGAGTTTCAGAACTGTCTCAGAGGACTCTTACCCATCACTCTGAAGAAGCAAAGACATTACATGTAAAATTGGAAACAGATTCTAGTTACAAACAGCAGTGGTTTTGCATGTAAAGCATTTCAGAAGTCCCTAACCAGTTTCAGCATAAAATGAAATTAAGAATTTCCAACTGCTTTCTTAAACTGTCTTGGCTGGAATGAAAAATAGACAATTTAGTTAAGCAGTAAGTTAAATATTAGAGTTCAAGGGAGCTGTCTCTGCTGTTTGGAAAAAAAGCCTGCTGGGAAAGGTTTTTTGAAATAATTATTTTCTGTTTGTCTTTGGGGAAATATTACAAAATTTTCACTTTACTTTTGACTTTGAACCAATTCGGCTTTCTACTCTGTGTTGTCAGTTCACTGTCAATTTCTTTCTTTTGTCTGACCGTAAATTCTACTACTCCTTTACTGTGTTGTCTGGAAACATTAGGTTCATTCTTACGTGACTTAATAGAGCTACCATAGCATATTTTCTCCCCTTACCGTCACTATTTTTTATGGTGCATTTTTATGTTTAAATACTATAGTGACCTAATCTTTTAACATGTTTTTATCTTAAAAAAAAGGTAAAAAAGCTTGATTGTATAATCATTATTGCATTTGGGGGTTCATAATTCATACCTGCAATGCTGCATATCTCATTGACTAGTGTGCCTGTAGCTCTTTTATGTGGCATATTTCTTGAATATTCAACTGCTTGTCTCAAATCTAAACCATGAACTATTACATTTGACTGAATGACTTCAAGACCCATCATAAATGCTGCTTCTCTGAAAAGTGCTCCCACTGTTTAAATTATAGATCAAATCCTGCTAGACTTATGAGAGTAAACAAAATAAAGTGAACCCATGTGGATAACATTTGGTCATGAGATTGTGGATTGAGCACTGATGCAGCTATCTGGCATATAAAGTTTTGGCTGTTACTTTCATGTTTTACTAAAGATTATTCCAAACAATGTTTTGCTCTTTTGGGCAACATTTCTAATACTAAATAATTAAATTTGTTATTTATAATGTTGGATTTTGAAATGGACTGTCAGGATACCAGCTCATTTTTCTTTTGACCACTACCTCTATTTCTAGACATGACTGATTTTGCATGCAAGTATAAACAAATCTTTAAATGCTGCATAATTGACTCTACCTTTGTTAGAATATTTTTGTGCTTCCTCATTTGAGGGATTTTTTTAATTTTCAGTTTATTTGATCTTTCTCTTTTAGTACAGAAATAATTTTGCCAAAACCAATACTAATTATATTTTGTATTTGCTAAAAACAATTTCTCAAATTTTTTCCTTTTTCCCTGTTTTCTTTTTCTTTGAACTAATTGTCCTGTCCTCCCTTCCTCAGTCATCACTCATGAGCGTGGTAATTATTAAAAACAACTGCCTATTCTTTATTTTTCCTGCTCTTAGCTTTGTGTCAGCACTGTACAGCTCCTGAACACCATAAGTTTTTTTTGTTCCTGTAAGACTGTTCAACTAATGGGGTCTTTTCTATTATTATTACAATTGTGTTTTCCAAAATTCTTGGGGTTTGTGTCAACTCTCCCCACTTTGTTCTTCCTCCCTTTCTCAGGATTTGCACAGTAACTGGCACACTAGGTGTAAGAGCAGCAAGCTTTTTTTAAACTCTTTTATTTTTCTGTTATTTTTTATTTCTTTTCATTTTAGTGAGCCCAGTATGTGCGATGGATGAATGTTTAAAAAAAATACCTATACCTATACATACACAAAGCCTTTTGCTATAGTCCTCCTGTAGTACTTATGTTGTGTATTGAATGTGGCTTTATTGCTGCATTGATTTGTGCAAGCACAGGAAATCAGTGGTGGATCCAGTGAGGATTTGAGGGTGGTTAGTAAGGAGAGGACTTGCCACTGGCTAGGTTTATCTAATGCAGTCAGGAGTTGATACAAGAAAGAGGTGGTGCACCACTAATTTAGAGGAATCAATAATGTTTACAGGCAGTTCTTCCTTGCTCTGTAAGCTACTTGATGTGTTAAGCTTCCCATACCTCAAAGGTTCCTTGCTTCAAGGAAGAGCTTTGTAGGAGCAGTTGCCACAAGGTATTCCTGTCACCATGAGAAATGGAATTTAAAATACAAAATGTGTGTACCATTCAGCAGAAACAATAAGCTAAAACACAGTAGATGTATTTTCATTTGCAAAATGTTGAGGAGGGAGATGATCGGATTTTTATTTGTTTTCTCAGTGGAAATTTTTTTATTTAGTGGATCAACAAAATTCTACACTTAGGGTCATGTGGTTTTGTTTTCTTTGTTACTGAGCAGCAGCGATGTCAAGATATGTTAATCACACTATGTCAAAGATTTCTTGACACAAATATTTGCTAACAGCACCTTTTTTTATATATTAACATCCATCTATTGAAGATTCAAGAAAACAGAACAAAGCAAAGCCAAACCAAAAGAGACTGTACTTTCCCTTTTCAGGGTTACATTATTCTTGATACTATGCTATTCAAATAATAATAATAATAATAATATTTTTTTATATTATGAAGCACACCTTTTTCAATTGAAAAGTAGTTTGTGTAAGAGCTATACAAGTACTGGTATGAATACCTGATAGCATTATGAAAGCCCAGCCAGTGTGTCTGTGGGGAAACTCCTGTAGTGTCCAGTTTTGAAGTATCCTAGATTTTATGGGATACCTGAGATCATACGTCTGTTTGCAATCCTATGAATTACCATCTGTAAATACTACAAAGAAAGTATCAAAGATGTGGAAATGTTTTCTCCCGTTCCTTTTTTCAAGGGAGATACTTACGCTATGAGTAATTAATTCTCCTCAATTAAAGGTCATTTTATTGGTTCCCAAGGGAATGATGGGATGTAAAATGTGCACTGTCGCCTGTTTCTTTTGTCATCTGAATCTGATGCAGAAGCATATTAATCAGAAATTGTCATTGAGTTTACAACCTATAAGCCTGAAACTATTCTTGCCAAAGTCAAAGGAAAAGTGCTGTTGGCACTTATGAGGTCAAACTTTTAGAGTCAACTTTTCCTCAAAAGCAGTGCTTGTTTCTGGTCCTGTGTCAATATTGGCAATAGGTGGAAAGCCCTGTACTGGTCAACATGGATATGAGATTTATTGCCCTATTCCAACTGCTTCTTTGTGCTGTCCGCATCATAAGCTCCTTGTCCTGATAGTCCTCTGACCGGTACTACCTTCCCTTTCCAAACCCTGGAACCCTCACTGGTAACAACATTGATGGTTCTTTAGCAAATGTCTTTCTTACTTGTTTTTGTGATGTACTCAATGTTGTTTCTTCTGTATGTATTTTGTTTTGACTGTTCTGTTTCTTTTTCAAAAAAGGGGGGTTCAAAACAAGACGTAGAAATGCTTATTATCTTGCAATGTTTTCTCATTTTTCATTCAACACTCATACTCTATGCCATTTCACTGGAAGTCACAAAAATCTTGAAAGTGCAATGCTTTTCTCCTTTGGAGAGACTTGTTTTACTTATCATATAAAGTAAAAAATGTAAGATGTTAAGTTTACACGTAGATTATTTTACCTTTTTTTTTCTTTTTTTGTCAGGAAAGCTCTATTTTTATTTTTAATATTTTAATAAGGCATTATTTTGTTTCTCCGTAAGTTCTCAGAGGCTTATTTTAATAAAGTACAATTTTAGAATTAAATTTGATCTGATAGTAGGTCTTAAATGACCTTCTATTAAACTGACTGAGAGTGGTACACGTACCCTATAATAGAGAGCTATAATGAAGGTACACATCAGAGCTATTTTCAAACATTAATAATGTGAAATCAATAAATGTGCTTCTGTCCTTCACCAACCTAGTCACAGTCAACCTAGGTGGATGTTTAAATTCTGCCTGATCCACCGTAGCCTACATTGGAGTGTTTTCCACCTTCATATCACTGTATTTGAATCAGTGTTTGCATTTAAAAGGGAACTTAAGTAGCTTTGGTTCAGAGAAATTGTTATACATCACTCAGTGAGAAAACAAGTGCTTTTCTTATTTGAATCAGATTATTGAGAAGTTGAAGGCATTGCAGCACTCACAATCCAACCCAGTACTGCCCAGGTCTTATTATAAGAGTAAATTCACTTGGTTTATCATGGGAGAGCTTTGCTGTTGCTTAACAGCCATCAAAAAGGAGCCATGTTCCTTTTTGAAAGCTGAAACTATTTTTGTATTTCTGTAATATGTAGCATCAGACCAATGTTTCTGAGGAGTAATAGAAGTCAGATCTTTTCCACTGAGGATTTAAAAAAAAAAAAAAAAAAAAAAGAGAGAGAATTACTAAACTTGGGTGCTTGTACTTTCAAGGAAAAACCCCATATATTTCATTTTTCATTCAATCTTATTTTCATTTTCTACATGATACCTCTGTTCCTATATATCACAAATACAGGCTACCAGTTTTGCAAAAACTACAGGCCTTCATGTGTGTAGCCATATCATTTACATACAGCATGAGCAATGGCAGCATTTTAACGTCTAAGCAAATAATGCCAGAATATACATCATATCAAACAGAAATTAAAGAACATGTTTTCGTGACAACCTAAGTCATACTCTATGCAGTGCATATATTTGTAAGTACATTATCTATGCAAATCTTTCTGTGTACTGGCATGAATTTGTGTGCACAGCAGCAAAGGTTGTTCTCTTAGATGTTATAGAAAGAAATGGATCTGCACTTCAGTTCTGTAGTTGCCAGTGAGACATCTCTTGCAGTCAGTAACACCTGAAAATTAAAATTCCTGTCAATACTCACATTGGCTTTAGTCAGATTTTGATCAGCTGTAGAAACTGAAAACCAGCATTATTTTAAAACCTTGAGGCCAAGCTGTTTGAAACTTTTTTTACTTCATTTTGAAATATGTAAAAATATTTTCAAAAGGAACAGACCTTTCAGCTTATGTGAAATGATGTACCTAAACATCTTCTGATTTTGCAGAATTTTGTAATAACTTACATTCATTTTATGATTTCTTTACAGTGGAGCTAATTAAAATACCCTTCCAAACCCTTCCAATTAAAATTGGAATTTATTTTATAAAAATTCCTAATTTCCCGTGGATATAATACAAGCCAGAAGATTACTTCATAAATTAATCTGTATAATAATTTTAACTTGAGACTTGTTTTCCTTCTTGTTCTGAAAAATCTTACTTGATAAGAGGGCAAGAAAAATAGAGGTGGAAAAATATTAAACTGTAACTTATTCTTTAGTCTTATTCATACAAATGGCTTCTACTCAGTGAAATCTTGATATTCAAGAAATACATGGTTGGACCCTTTATGGGCTTCATTTTTCCAACCGTAATACATCAGCAATTTTATTTTTTTAAATCATTGCCATCTCGGCAGTTCAGCTAAATGCATTACATGTGTGAAGGTACAAGCTCCACCAAATATTTGCCTTTCTGTAATGTTTATTTTTGCAAAATATAAATATTCATCTAGACCAAAAAAGCAAGTGACTCCAAGTGTGACTTTAAGCATGACAGGAGTTCAGTTAAATTGAAAAAAAAAGGAAGTGACTAATCCTGCAGGATATTCTGTACTCTGGCCTTTGGCCAGCAACATATGAAAGTATCTTGCAGGGCTGAACTTGCATATAATGTTGAATAATACACTTTTAAGTGCACAGGCACCTTTTGATTTTGCCTTCTTGCCTTCTCAGGCATCTTTTGTGTGTATACATTAATCAGCACTGACAGAAACAGCCATTTATTTTTCATTGTTTAATTAGCTGAAAGGGTTTTCAGTCTTCTGTGACTGAAAACCTATGTATCTAGTATTTATATCTGAGATAGAGAAAAAGGTCATAGAATGCCATTTATAGTATTCGGTTCATTCTTGGAGAAAGAATTGCATATTGTTTCCCACTACCAGAAGTACACGTTTGGAATTAGGAGGAAGAGCATTTTATCTTTCCCTGTGTTACAACCTGCATTTGCATATACTTTGGTGAGGTGTGCTATTAATACCAAACATTAGGTCTTGATAGCAACAGGAAAGAGTGAAATTCTGTTCTTCTAAAATATTTATATTAGTTTTCAAAGTGCTTTTTGCTTCCTAATCCCACCATTGTAGTGAAGCTTCTCACTTTAAAATTCACAGGCTGTGGATTGATGAGTCTATTACCTTGAACCATGAATCATTCATGGCTTGATGTAAACTTAAACTTCTGATCAGGTTCATGTGTATATACATTCCAAGTTGTACTAAATACTGTTTACATTTCAGCTGTAATAAAGTAATTCTAATAATACAATAATTCTAATAATACAATACATTATCCACCAAGATAACACTATGTCAGTAACTGTGAATGTAATTACTAATGTCTATAACCTTTTTGAAAAAAGCTTTTTTTCTTTTAAATATTAATTAATTCGCTCTTATAGTTTCCTTCTGTTCATGCACTAAAAATGTTGTCTTCATATACATGGATTGAAGTTCAGACGAAAGCCTAAAATATCTCCCCATGAAAAAAAAATCTTCCAAATTCTTTTGCAGTTTACTTACATTTTTATCTCCTTTCCTTTTGTTTTCTACAAACAGCACCTGGCCACATATTCAAGTGATGTATATTCTTAAAAAGTAGACGTTTTTATGGCTCCCATTTTTGTTGCCATACACATTCCAAATACTTTATCAAAGTCCTAGATGGCAATTTCCTTACTTTCAATAGGTGGCCTTTTTTGTTTCAAATACCAATGTTGTTATCCTCCTGTGTCATTTTATTAGCTGTTCTACATTTTCCTCAGTTGTGGTTGTTTTCCTGGGTGAATGATTGTTTCTCCTCTTCACATGTCAGTGTACAAAGTTAACTGTATGTATTGATGAAATTGAAATAAGTGTGTTAATTGAGGGCTTTTTAGTATACTGTTTCCTGTGAAGAATCCAGAAAATAATTTGAAGCTTTATACATTTAGATATTAGCTATTTATCAAAAAATGAACTGAAGGGCCTAATTCTATAAAACACATCGACATTTGTTCTAATTCATCATAAATTTATTGCTTTATTTTGTCAAGGGAGACAAATGCCCAACATCCATATTGTGTCAGCAGCAGACAGGTCCTAAATCCTCATATATTTCCACCTAAATGATTCTTGAGAATGCACACAGCTGTCAATTTCAGGGGTTATTTTAGATTGTTTTAAAATCTAATAGTTTATTTGAGGAATGGTTTTCATTACTGTTTGATTAAATTGATTTCTGTATTTTTAAGTACCTTGTTTTGTGATGAATGGGGAACCAAATTAATCCAATCCTAACCTTTGTGTGTAATGCAGCAGTCATGCCCAGCAAACAGGAATGTAAATCATGGATTATTTGTAAAATGTTGCCAAGCTCATGCTGCCGTATATATAAATCAAAAGTTAAATTTCATAATTTAATTTTTTTTAACCAAATTACTATCTGCCAAGCACAAGTTATATGTGGTTCAGATAGATTGGTGGTTATAAGTCTTCTCGCCCCTTCTCTCTTTCTTAAAATTAAATATGGAGATTTTCTTCAGGGGCTGTGGGGTGTTACTTGGCAACCTGTGATAATCTGCTTCCATCTGGCCTTTTTACAGGAGAAAAGGTGATGCAGGATGATGAGTTCACCTGTGACCTCTTCCGCTTTCTTCAGTTGCTTTGTGAAGGACATAATTCAGGTTTGTGGGCAGGCTGCCAGTCAGCTAAGCCAGGGTGATGGTAACTAAAGATAACAGCTCTTCATTGCGGAAGCCTTCATAAAATATTATGAAAGGTGGAGTAGCTGCTAGACTGGACATGAAAGGAAAATTATGTGGAATTAAATTGACAGGTTTTTTTAATCAGCTTTAACTTTGTAGAAAAGATAATACTTTCCAAAATGATGAGTTTTGGATCTTAACCTACTAGGAAAGGTAAATTTATATAGGAAAATGGTTTATATCTTGTAGTCAGTGAAGACTCAGAGGAAAAATATAACAGGAAGGTATTATTGTTCCTTGGCATTTGTGTGCTTTCTGGTGTGCACTATTTGGCATGAATGTCAGTTAGAATTGTATGTGAAATTACTACATACACAATACCTTTCTTGAAGAAGTAGCATCTATTTTAAAAATACAAAAACAAATTAAACAAATATATGATATTAAGTGCATTTTTATTATTAAGTACTTTTCCCTGTGTTCTCTGTGTCATCATTAGGGAAGAAAAAGAAGAAAAAGAAAAAAAAACCTATTATTTTTTTTAGCCATTGGACATATTTATGACTTTGTAATCAGGAATTGTATAATTATGTGATTTAATTTTGCTTTTGCTTAACAAAATATATAGTAGGTGTAGTTATGTTAATACTGATGGAGTTCTAGAGATGTAAAATTAGTCATAAATGAGATAAAAATAAGAGGAAGTTGAAGTTCCACAGATGAAACAGATAATCAAGCTTCTGCCTTCAGAAGTCCAGTGATATGTGATCTCTGCAATAAAATGCTGAAACTCTTCAAATGGTTTGTTGCCAAAAAAAGAAGAGTTAAAAAAATCCATTCCTTTAAGCTATACTTTCCTAGATCATGTTAAATCAGAATTAATTTTCAAGAGTAGTTTTGTAAGTCTTTAACACTTAAATAAATTTAAATTAAACTTTTAATTGAATTTTTAGATTTTCAGAATTACCTGAGGACTCAGACTGGTAACAACACAACTGTTAATATTATTATTTCCACTGTGGATTACTTACTAAGAGTTCAGGTACGTTAACTTGTATACTAATTAGGTAGACGACAACAATGACTTGTATTTATACAATATTTACCATTTTTAAAAATTGATTTCATTTATTTTGATCATAAGGCAGAAGTTTGTATGTGGAGATTCCAAATTTCATAATTTCTCTGGAATTTCCTTCAGCAATACATGGTTTGCTGCCACAAAACTTCTATTTACAGGAAAATCAAACTTCATCCTTATCACAAAATGTTCAGTTTCATTAGATGAGCACATTTATTTGTCATGGCATTTACTCTGCTCACTGTAGCCCACGTTGATGAGAGAGGCTGTAATTCTCTACTTGTTACTGTGAGAGTCAAAGGTGGCAAAAGTGTGAAAGACTGATTTCAGCCATTATGTGCAAGAATGCAGTGGAGTCTGTTAACCAAGGAGAGCTGGCAGAAGGTAGATGAGTACTAAGTGTATCAGAGGATACCATTAGCCAGTTGTTGACTGAGTGAACCCTGTGACTGAAAAGTGTTTTGTATTGTTTAAGTTAAGCTTCAGCCAGCTGCTTTTTCATCCATATTCTGATTTAGTCTGAACACTGGGCTGCTGTATGGATAGTCATGGGGTGGGATGGAGTGAAGCATAAGAACATTGTATCATTTTCTTAGGAGGGAAAAAAAAACAAATCAAAAAGAAAAAACAAAAGCAGAAGGGTAGATTTAAAACCCGTCAACGCTCTGATTTGAATTATCTCCGTAATATTTCAAATATGAAAACATTACATTATCACAACCTGGTAGAAAGTAATAAAAAAAAAATCTTGTTTCCACATTGGAGCATGTGAAAGACATGGATATATTTTGTGATAAATGTTAATAATTTTTACCTATTATTCTAAACTTTGTGAAAATAACTGTGCTTGATAATATATTTTGTTGTGTTGTTTTGGGTTTTTTTTTAATTTATCTAGATAAGTTTTCCCTTTAGCCATTTATTTATTTGGTCTGAGAATTCCAGACTTTGAAAATTGGTGGGGTTTAAGTTGCTGCTGTTATCAACATGGCTTTTTATCTTTATGCATTGTGTAGAAGTTGTAGGGGACAATACAGTGATTTTCATTCCATTGCTTACTTTGTTGAAACTTTAATAAACTCACCTTTCGGGAAGACGGAAAAAGGAATCAGGCACACGAAGCAACATTTGCTCCCACTATTGACTAGGTGTCAAGCACACGGTATAAAGAGACATTTTTTAATGCACAGCATGCAGCATGGTAGTACTACTGAGTACTCCTTTTCAGAATACGGGCAGTTGTATTTCTGAGAGCAGATACCAATAAATCTATTTTTTTTTTTTTATTATTTTGAGGTTTGCTGTGGAGTTTTTTAATTATTTATTTCAGTTTGTTTGTTTTCCTATTGATTCCCTCGAGATGAAACTACAGTTCTTGAAGTCATACTTGAGAATTGTTGGGGGGGTCATTTAAAACCTTTATAAACTGAATATTTTTCAGAACTGGAATGCTATCTAATGTTATTTTTCTTATCTTGGTGAATACCTGGTTAGAGGCAGTTTGCTTACATAATCTCTTTGTGCTTCTCACAACTTTTTTTAGGAATCCATTAGTGATTTCTATTGGTATTATTCTGGGAAGGATGTTATTGATGAGCAAGGACAACGAAATTTTTCCAAAGCCATCCAGGTTGCAAAACAAGTTTTCAATACTCTTACAGAGTATATCCAGGTAAATTAGTTTCATTAGAATTTCATGGATTTGAAGGGAAATTAATCATACTTTTGGCATGAAGTTGTAATGTAGCTAGATATAACATAGATAGAAATATGATATAGATGCATTTATGCTTCAACATTATTTTAATGTATTTATTTACGTAGGAAATGAAGTTTTGAATCATATAGATATAGCTGTCACTAGTCTTTTGGAATCCTTGGCTTGTGTGCAAGATAGTACAATTTTGTTTTGCTTTGTTTTAATTTGGCCTAGACTGCAGCAGTGTTATCCACTTTAAAGTCTTCACTTTTAATCCACTGAGAAACTAAGGTCAATATGAAACATAGCCGCTATTTAGTCAACAGAACATTAGACTGTATTTTGTCAGGAATAAGGCTGGTTTAAAGCATCAATGCTGTGTTTTAAATACTTAAGTCACACATTACATCTGAGAATTGTAGACATGTACTTAAGGTGGACTCCACAATAAATGAGACTGGGATCAATTCTGTCAAAATAACAATATAGGAGTTCTTCCATTTTATGTTGGGAATTCAGTGGAATTTAGTTCTAAATTAATTCCTCATGTAAATCAGCCAACAATATTACAATTTGTTTCTGCATATAATAAGCAGGTTAGAATTTCATTAGACTGTTAGGTTTCTATTATATTTTTTTCATTCAAATGAAAATATATTTTATAGTTCGTGAAGTTGAAATGTAATAGAATAGGACTGAATAAATATTAGTAGAGGTGGCTTATATACATGTGCCTACATGTATTTAGTGTATATTTGGTAAATCACAAGTAGCATTGTTATCTGGTAAAGATTTTGTCTGTTACCCTTTGAGGCTTCAAAAGATTTTGTATTCCTGCTTTTCAGAGGTTGGAATTTTAGGAAGAATATTCTTTCAGCACTGTGTTCTACAACAGCTAGAATATGCTGGAGGAAATACATCAGGAGTCTGATACTGTAATCCCTTATGCCGTTTTTACATTAACGTCTACAAATTATTTCTTATTTATAGAACTATATAGGGAAGAATCAGCTTGAAGATTTGCATTGCTTTAGCATTTGCAGTTTAAAGTTACAAGCAGATAAGTATATTTTGTGGTTCTGAATTAGTAAATTGGCAGAAAGGTTGTTGGGAATAAGCATTGCTTACAGTCAGTGGAGTTATTAGATAGATAATTATACATATGTTTAATTTTTCATAGCAGTTTCTAGAGAACAGCTGTAAATAAACTCTGCTTTTCTTTTTTTTCTTTTTTTTTTTTTGTCATTGCCTGAAAAATAGGGACCATGTACTGGGAATCAGCAAAGTCTGGCACACAGCAGGCTATGGGATGCTGTAGTTGGTTTCCTTCATGTGTTTGCCCACATGCAGATGAAGCTGTCTCAGGTACCTTTGTATTACTTTTTTAAGTTACTAACTTTTTTGTAGAAGATAGACAGACTTGTTAATATGTTTGAGTCATTAATAACAACAGTTAACAGGGGAAATTTGAGGAAAAATGAGAGACAGAGGTGATAGAATACAATAGAGTTGAGGGAGTAAATCACAAAATTGTAGTGGGTGTGAATAGTGGGCCTGTAATGAGACTACTGGCCACAGGCACAAAGCTGATTAGATCAAGCTGCAAATGAAGCACATCACTGATATTCAGAAAGAATCAGTGTTTTCTGCAATTTTAACCAAGCCTTTTATGCTGGGCCCATCTTCATTGATGTGGCCTGCATTGAACCCTGGGTCAATATATGTCTGCATCTAAGCCTTTTCTACTCTTAGTAGAGAGAGTAATCAGACCTTAAAATGGGTGAATTGCTTTTGGATGTGAGTACTCATTTTGTAAATTACAGAAATAGTGTAGGGGACTGGCATAGAGAGTTCTTTAGGAGGTTAAAATTAGATGAGAAGAATCTTATCCTTAAGCAATGCATTTTTCAACTTTTTATCTTTTTAAAAGAATTACACATCTTAATTGAATGTACTGATGCTAAATTTTTTACACAATTTGACATTCTCAGAGAAAAGTGTTGTAAGCTTGAAAAGGTTTTAGTTGTTAAGGAATATGCTCTCAAGGCTCTGAGTTTTTTAGATTTTATTATTTGGCTGCAAACGTATGCATGTAAGTATTCTTTGCATAAATTAAAGTAGTCTTGCTCAAATGATTTTCCTCCCTGCCCTGGGGACTTTATGGCTGAAAGTAGGCTGATTGCCTAGATTTGTAGACTTTGTGCTACAGGTATGCTTCTCATTCTTTATGGCTAATTAGAGGTCGTCTTCCAGCAAATAGTATCACAGTGAAACCTGTTTATCAAGAGTGATGCATGGAATTTCTACTGAAGTGTATTTATAAGTGCCTGTAGATACTGTCCTCATTTTGGAACATCTTTGTTATTTTAAGAATTAAAAAAAATAGTCAATGTTTGGGAAGGCAACACTGGTAGCTATTGTGCTTTCTTCCTGTACTACTAAACCAACGTGGAAAGCGGTATCTACTGACATTGAGTCAAACTGACATTGAGTCAAACATTGAGTTACTGACAGTGAGTCAAACACATGGTAGCTATGTGTTGATTGAGAAATATGATGTGGCTATTGGCAAGATTTGTTTTTACAGTAATGACAAGTTTATAGTCTTAGCTGTGCCTGGAGTGGCTTTACAGCATCTTTTCATTATGGCATCTAGAAAATAATGATACTCATCCTGCCACTTCAGAGACAGCCAAGAAGCTTTGTACAACGAGATCCATTGTAATGTGTGGAATTACTCATGCTGTTCTGTGGGATGACAGAAACACAGTCATCTACAAATTAATGATAAATAGTGATGATGTCTTCTTGTCTGAGGCTCAAGCCCTTGGCTTCTGGGAGCTCCTTTAGGGGGCCAGCAGAACCTTGGGAAAGACCAGAATAGTTTTTTTTTATTTATTGCAAGAACATATTAATAGGCTTATCAGATTCTATGGAAATACTTTTCAAAAGTGTAGAGTGTAGCTAAATGGATTTATAAGGAGTTGCCATATGGCTTTTTTCTGTAAGAGTGGCCTGTCTAGGCTAAGTATTTGGGGTTTGTTTTAAATTGGGAGTTTCCAGAGCACTTTTGGAGAATATTTGAAACAAGATTTAAATAGGAACTGTCGTGGTTTAACCCGGCTGGCAACTCAGCACCACGCAGCCGCTCGCTCACCCCCCCCCTCCCTCAATGGGATGGGGGAGAGAATCGGAAAGAAAATAAAAGGTTAGAGCTGAGGGCTGAGATAAAGACAGTTTAATAAGAGAAAATAATAATAATAGTAATAATGAGAATGATAACAGAATATACAGAATATACAAAACGAATGAGGCACAAGGCAATTGCTCACCCCCCACCGACCGATGCCCAGCCCGTCCCGAGCCGC